CTCTAAATATGATCATATTATATATTTGTATAATATATAATATGATCTCAAACTAAATAATTATGTTTTTGGTATAAAATTGAATAAACTGAAAACCGATGGTATATAAACCAAATCAAACTGAAGTACATATAAATTTAGAATAGTAGTTATATTTTAATGATCGAAATACCAAAAAATCGAGCCGAACCGAAACCCGATATCCGGATTGAACACCTCTAATCCGAATGAAACCGAACTATTGTTTCATTTTTAAAAACATAATAAAAATAATAGCTTCATCCCGCGCAAGGCGCGGGTCTTATCCTAGTTCATATATTATTTTGGCTAACTGTCTTCTCTGTTTCCATTTGTATTTTGTAGGTTGCGCCAAAACATTAATAAATATCCCGAGTGTTAAGAAAATAAAATACTATTTTGGTTAGTGACTTCGTATTTAGTTTACAGTTTTTATAAGCTATATTAATAGATGGTAATTCAAATATTATGCAATTTTTATACTGATTTCTATGATTTGTGGGTCAAAACCTGACTCAGGAAACTCACTTGAAAACCGACCTAGTTATAATCTACTTTTAGTTAATTTGCGTCGATTTCATGATGATGTGATAACTATATAAAGGTAATAAAAGTGAAAATCCCAATGCTAGATTCAAATTACTAGTTTTAATATCATCTTATTTAGGTTGGTTGAATTCCGACTTGATTAACCAGAAACAATTTACCTTTTAACCAACCAAACTAACCCACCATACTTAATTAGTTTTTAATGTTTATCTTATTAGTTCATATTTCTTTGCATTCAGACACTTACATCTTACATAAAAACTTTTTAGAGAGAAAAAAAAGGATAACTGCTTAGTTTTTCCGATCGACAGGTTTGGCTCTTCTAACCACCGTCGGTCGGGCATGTGTCTTTCTTTGTGCTTCTGGCGACACACCTTCTTCATTAGTGGTGATCCGGCTCTGTCTTTGGGAAACGATGGCTCTGTTACCATCGATTTCGCCGACTTTGTAATTCCCGGAGGAGAGGCTTACTTAGAAACTCTATCGTTGGCTCTTTCACGATATGTGTAACTTGTTGGCTTTGTTTTGATGGCTTGATGATTGGATGAGATCTTGACGGTAGGAAATTGATGCTCTACAATGTTGGAGTTCAAGCGTTGAAGGGGTATTTGGTGAAGTTTGTGAATGTCTTGAGGTCTGTGCATGGTGGTTTGGGGAATCGGATGAGATCTCAACTCTGTTGTTGGTGGAAGCTCTCCGGTGGAAGGATCTGGTGTTGAAGCAAGGTGGTGAAGCTTTGTTTCTGGTGGAACCGGCGTTGTCTAGTCTCTCGGCGGTGAATCTTCTGTGGACGGGAAAGATGGTGAAACTTGTGTGACGCATCTCTTTGTTGTTGAGGGCTTGACATGTCGACACATGTATCGGTTTTCTTTATTGTTGAGCTAGGTTAATGGGTTAGAGTCCAAGTTTTGTTATGTTTTTTCTGGTTCTGGATTTCGGCTTTTGTTATTTTGGAAGGTTGTGGATTTCTACTCTTAGGATTCGCCCAATTAATAAAATCAGATGGCAAAAAATAAAAGACACTTACATCTTATATATATATATAGTGTCTATATTGTTACCTCACATCTCTATGCATTACATATATATTCGTGAGCTCATTCATCTACCCATGTCTGACGTGACGCATATATGTCATGGTGCTTAAAAAACAAAAGGAAAAATGTTTTCTCGTTAGTTTATCTTTTTTAGTAATCTGGTTACTTAAAATTTTGCACTGGAAAGCTGACATTTTTACAAAAAAAAGAAAGAAAAAGAAACAATACACTACACCTAAGAAAGTTGAAAGCACATAAAATAGTAGTTGACATTTGTTTTGCCAAAGGAGCAAACAAGAGCGACAGGGTGGATTTAACCTTCGTTGACTAGACATAAGTTGTGATTTAAAAAAAAAAAAAGGTTGTGAACTTGTGATATATAGATCATATGGATATTCGGACGGAAATACAGATTATGTATCGAGATGTCTTCCGAAAATATTTTATTGTGTAGTTACAAAAAGTAAGATGACTTGTAGGGATGGACTTATATGTCACCACAATTCACAAACAAAGACTAAAGCAAGTGTTGAATATTAATAATATGCGCTATTAGGCTTTATGCTCGTATTTGTATTGTTCTGATTGCTCCGTTGACCGGAAGTAATCTTTGCCATTGTACCTTATCGTCCTTAGGTTCTCTGAAACGACGGTTGGCGATGGTCCTGAAGATCTTGCTTGGTTTGTGGGTCTTCCTGGTTCCGTAGGTGGCTCCATAGGGAGCTGCGCACATCCCAATATCTTGGTCTTCTCTTCGATGCAATGGTAGTGTTCGGTTATTTGCTTTCTTATAGGTCTCCGAGCAGTTCTGATTCATTCGTTTGTGTTATTTCGTTCACGGTTTCTTGTTTTTCCGATCTTGGTATAAAGGTCTTTGTGTCTCTCGGCCTCGGCTGGTTTGGCGCTGTCAGAGTTTGTATAGCGGTTTTGAAATGTTTATGCTCTAATTCCCTTCTTTTTTGTTAGCGTTAGTGCGTTATGAAGGTGACAGTTATAAGGTTAAAACTGATCATCGAGACCTAATACTCCAAAAGTAACACGGAGACTCTCGGCACTTTTGGCATTCAAGGCAACGAGGAGAATCTGACTTTCTCGTGATTATTGTTGATGGTTGAGAACAAGAGTAAATTTCTAATGTTTATTAAAAACAGATTAGCAAAACGTATAGTAGTGGGTGAGCGAAGCTAGTTTGTAACACATAGACTAGGAAGCTTTTGCTTATATCGAACTTGCAACTGAAACTTATTCCCCTTTTTCCGGACTGATTTTTAATAAATTTATTTATAAAAAAAAAAATCTCTTTAGTCTATGAGTCTCCCACCTTTCGTTACTCATGCGAAATACTATTATAGTCTGTGATTTTGACTCTGTTTTGTTAATTCTTGTAAGTTGTAAGCAATACCTTTGATTATAATTAATAAGGAGCGTTCATAATAAGTTTTCAACGTTTAAAAGACGTCAATCAAATTATAAGTCAAATCTTATTTAGTTCCATCTATAAATATAAATTATATTTGATATTAACGCGTTTGGTTATATAAATATCAGAGATTCGATGTTTTGCTAAATAGCTGTATCTTTTTAGTTATCATAAATTTAGGGGGAGCAAAATCTTTGTAGTTTTTAAAAAAAAATTATTTATAGTTATTATTAACTTAATGCTCTTACGCGGACTGGGCGACTTGTTCTATGCCAATTTTGAACAGAAAATCTTTGCAAACTGTATATGAATGGGATAGAAGATGGTATCCACTAGCTGCAACCAGTAACTCCAATTGGGTGTCTCCTCCGTTGTTAGTATTCACGATGGAGGAAGGACATCGAAGAAGTAGTGGTTGAGAAGTATTTGTTTGACTAGGATAAGACTTGCGCAAGTATGTATGTAACTAAAATATAAATTTTGTATTGACAAATTTAAAATTTATATATAATTGTTTTTATATGTATTTGAAATTTCAGAATTTTAGAATTTTTATATAATTATCTATACGCAGGATTAGAAACAATTGTAATTAGAACTGTAAATCAAAACTTAAAATTTAATGCACCCGATTTCATATATCTTTTCATTTTTCAATGTTCGAGTGATGAAAAATAAACGGAGTGTCACTGGACTTGATTGATAGAGTATTAGCAAGTTCCCTAATGTTTTCTTAAGAACCAGTTGGTAAAATATTTACATTTAAAATATATAAAGCTTCAAAACTAACTAGAGCTGGACCCGCCCGACCGGGCAGGTGTTTTTTATGCTTACGTAATGTAATTAAATATTTTTTACACTATTATATAATCTATAAAAATTATAATGCTGACAAAAATACATCACATAGTACAAATATTACTGTAAAATTCACCCAATAGTCATTATTTTTTTAAAAAATAGCAAATGTGCATTTGATCACATTATGACAACAAAATTGAGTTAATTCATAAATATATGTGAGCTAAACATTTTTAAAAACCTAACTTCGATAAGGTAATTTAAGTTGGACCATATTTTAATTAAATTTTGTTAAAATACCTGTTCAAATGGCCCAACTAACCCAAATATTTTATTTTTATACCGAACTAACCCAAATATTTTATTTTTATACCGACAAGACCATTTGTATTAAGAAAAAAAATCGAGGTTCATTAATTTGGTGAGAACTCTCATGTCCATCAAATATTCTTTTAAACATAGATTTTGAAGTTTATCTTGAAATTTATTTATTTTTATTCAACATTTGCTTCGAATTAATTTATGTTATTTCAAATAAAATTTTTTGTTGTTATATTAATTTTTTTTCGTATTAGTTTTCAGTTCGAAATTTTTGTTTCTACGAAATGGTAAAAGATACGCTGTAAATATAAATGTATTACATAACTATTAATATGTCAAAGTATTAATTACATAGATAAATTTATTTGTTTTATTTAAAATCGATTGTATTCGATATTGGTGTCATATAATTAAATTGAAATTTATAAATAATTGGACATATAAATCTAACATTTACAAAATGATTGGGATTATATTTATGTATCCAATTTTTTATTGATCAAGTTCTAAATTGTTTGTAAATTATTTTGGTTGTATATTTTATTTAATGAATTATTGAACTATGAAGACTAACCTGGGTCCAGACATGTGTATTACCTTTTTATATTATAGCAGTAAGTTTATATATTGAATAATATAATTTATTGTGTAATATTATATATTTGAATAAATTTTTAAAAAGAATATAAAATTTTTATAATACATAGTTTGTTTTATATTTCTAATATAGAAAACTCTGGTCAGATTAATTAATAGTATGTTGCCATGTTTTAAGATAAAAAAATAAATGTTGCCATGTTTTTAGTTAATATCTCTGGTCAAATTTAAATATGGAATGCGGTTCAGATTTTCCTAAATTATTGTTGCCATGTTTTTAGGTAAAAATGGAATTAGGAAATGCATTAATACAAAAGGAAAAGACAAAGAATATTAATGTTAGGATATTTAATTACTCCAGTGGCATGAAATTGTAATTAAGTGGTAAAATTTAAGGGTATTTTTAATTGGTACGTCTGTTTTAATAAAGTAGACTAGAGCTGGACCCGCCCGACCTGGCGGGTGTTTTTTTTATGTTTATGTAATGTAATTAAATATTTATTCCACTATTATATAATCTATAAAAATTATAATAAAAATGATGACAAAAATACATCACATAGTACAAATATTACTGTAAAATTCACCCAATAGTCATTATTTTTTTAAAAAATAGCAAATGTGCATTTGATCACATTATGACAACAAAATTGAGTTAATTCATAAATATATGTGAGCTAAACATTTTTAAAAACCTAACTTCGATAAGGTAATTTAAGTTGGACCATATTTTAATTAAATTTTGTTAAAATACCTGTTCAAATGGCCCAACTAACCCAAATATTTTATTTTTATACCGAACTAACCCAAATATTTTATTTTTATACCGACAAGACCATTTGTATTAAGAAAAAAAATCGAGGTTCATTAATTTGGTGAGAACTCTCATGTCCATCAAATATTCTTTTTAAACATAGATTTTGAAGTTTATCTTGAAATTTATTTATTTTTATTCAACATTTGCTTCGAATTAATTTATGTTATTTCAAATAATTTTTTTTGTTGTTATATTAATTTTTTATCGTATTAGTTTTCAGTTCGAAATTTTTGTTTCTACGAAATGGTAAAAGATACGCTGTAAATATAAATGTATTATATAATTATTAATATGTCAAAGTATTAATTACATAGATAAATTTATTTGTTTTATTTAAAATCGATTGTATTCGATATTGGTGTCATATAATTAAATTGAAATTTATAAATAATTGGACATATAAATCTAACATTTACAAAATGATTGGGATTATATTTATGTATCCAATTTTTTTCTTGATCAAGTTCTCAATTGTTTGTAAATTATTTTGGTTGTATATTTTATTTAATGAATTATTGAACTATGAAGACTAACATGGGTCCAGACATGTGTATTACCTTTTTATATTATAGCAGTAAGTTTATATATTGAATAATATAATTTATTGTGTAATATTATATATTTGAATAAATTTTTAAAAAGAATATAAAATATTTATAATACATAGTTTGTTTTATATTTCTAATATAGAAAACTCTCGGCAGATTAATTAATAGTATGTTGCCATGTTTTAAGATAAAAAATTAAATGTTGCCGTGTTTTTAGTTAATATATCTGGTCAAATTTAAATATGGAATGCGGTTCAGATTTTCCTAAATTATTGT